TTTATTATCTATGTCAGAAACAGAAAACCTTAAATATTTAAGCTTAACAAATCACTTAAATGACTATCTATTACCGGGGTAGTTGATAAAAAAATCTTCACTTTTATGTGTGAAAATGATTACCGGGTAAAAATTACCAAAGAAATTACAGAAATAATAGGATTCATCACAGCACGTCTTCCTTTGTGATCGAGAAGCTAATTTAGAAGAATGTTTAACAAAACTATCATCTAAGCTCTCATTTAAAAGCACTAGATTCCCCTTTTCTTGTTGGATTACAAGTGAAACTTCTTTTCTGTCTTACCTGGAGTCCATAATTAATGAAAAAAAAAAACATCAAGACAGATGCAAAGATTAGATTTTCACCCCACCTCATTTTATTAAGCAAAGTATCAGAATGATCTGCAATTAGTTGTTTAACAAAAAAAAAAAAATCAAAACGAGATAACTTAGGGAATGTAATGAACAGTACGTCAATACTGTAACTGAGAGTAACTGCATTAAAAACCAGAGCATGAGGAATGTGACCGCGTAACGCCGAAATGTGCGACTCACACATTTGTGGCATGTAGTGTGTGTGTGCAAAAAACGTGACGGCGTGATTGTGTGCCAGATGACTCTGTATGCCGGCCGAAGCGCCAGCAGCCGAACAGTAGTTGATGTGACAGTGTTGAGAATAATAAGACTTAATGAAGCAAACTGAAACTAGTTCACATCCATCCGGGGCCCCGCGAGAGCTCGAGATGTGTCGACAGCAATTAAAAAAAGAACATGTTATCTATGGTTACAGAGCAAATCAGATGACTTACAGCCACCAAACCAAAAAAATATAGATATTATTAGCCCTCATAAATTAGCTCTCTAATCAGGGTTGGAGTTTAACCGAAAACTACACTGGTCTCGAGTAAGTGTAAATGTGGAAAGCACTGCGCGATCAGGAGTAAAAATGATTACTGAATCTGGACAGTAATGCTAAAAATAAAAACATCTGAAACAACAGAAACCTGCTTTTTCCTTTCTACAGTGGAGGCGCTTCAAAATCAAACCCCGTTCATCGACGTTCTCTAACGCTATCATCCGACTTTTGTATAATTTCTTTGAAAAATAACATTCACAAGCATATAGAGTAAACTGATCTCTAATGTAAATATCTGGAAGTAACATATAAAAAAATAAAGATGGAAAATAAATCAGAGTTTTGCTCTCCTGCTACGGATAACTCAGATTATTAACAAAAACAAACACAAAAAAAATCCACTGTACATATCAGACTCTAAAAGATATATATACTGTCACCTCTTGTTAATGATTTACATCCAAAAATAAAATTAAATCTTCAGTCAGATTTTTTTTCTCCTTTTAAAGTGATCAGTAAAAACATGAGAGGCTGGTGTGTCCTGCAACGTTACGATGCAGCGCGACAGTCAGAAGGTCAGTACTTCACACATAAAGAACAACAAACCAGGTTCCTAACAAAGCTAGGACTACTGCTCGTCTTTACCACAGTGTCGGCGACTACACCTCAGTTTTTTACAGTGTCTTGTCATTTATTTTTTTTCCCTAACTTCCCCTCACAGCAGCATGGACTCCTGCATGGCGAACGCCTCCTGTGCGTGCCTGTAGTGTGGTCCTCCGAACAGCTGGGGGAGCTGTTGTCGTATGACGGGCTGCTGCTCCTGGAACTGTGTCCTGTAGTGGAGCAGGGCATCCGGGTTGGGGGGGAAAGTGAACTCCTGAACGGGTGACATTTGGGCTCGCTGGAAGCTGGGCGAGCGGGGCATCCCACCTGGGGACTGCGGGGGCAGCTCGTCCTCTGGCTCCCACTGGTGCCCGTCTGCGGCCCGCCGAGGCCCGCCGTCCGGCAAGTAGTTCAACTCGCCTCTCCGGTGCCCCTCGAACCTGTAGTCCACCGGAGCGCCGACCTGTGCGGTGGAGGTGAGTTGTTGCAGGTAGATAGGCGTGGAGCTGCCCTGGGTTTCCAGCTGCAGGGAGTGCTCTGGCGAAGGCCTGGCGTTTCGGGGGTTGCGGGCGGCGCTGGGCGGCGGCTGCCTTCGATAGGTGGCGAAGGAGTTGTTCATGAACGCCTTCTCTGGGGAGAGGCTGGTGGGCTGCCGCTGGGTGGTGGCGTACACTTGGTCGCCGTACGCCACGGTGGAGGGAGGAGTGAATCGGGCCGGCGGGGCATAGAGTCTGTCCTCGCCTCTCTGGTCAAGGCTCACGCTGTAGGCCGGATATAAGATGGGAACCTCAGTAGTCGTTCTTGCAGGGGAGTGCTGCAGGGGCGGTGTGTGGAACTGGCTCTGGCTGCCAGAGAAGCTGGCCGGAACACCTCCTGGACTGTTGTGGGGAAATTGAGGCGGAAGAGGGTGTTTGGCCATCCTGGGCCCTGATGCGACGGAGATGACGCTCCCAGCCAGGCTGGGCCCTCGGTTGGGGCTGCCCTGATGCAGGGCTGATACAGAAAAGGCTGCCTCACTGCGAGGGTTCCTCATTCTGGACGGAGGTCTGTCAAGCTCCAGGATCTCAAACTCCTGCTCTGGGAGCCCGGGTACGTTGTCGTACTGGGAGGCATTGGAGCCTCGGTTGGAGCCAGGGACGAACCCCTTCGATCGCGGCCGGCGGTGCAGCAGAGCGCTGTCGTCCGGGCTGGAAGGTGCAGGCGACGCCCCCCGGCTCATCTGGACTTCCCGGGCTGCTGCCATTTTGACAGCTTCCAGCTTCGTCTCAGAGGGTTTGAACCAGCGGGGGGTGATTTCCTTGCGGGAGCTGGAGGCCGCGTTGGAGTTGTGGTTGGCCGTGGCGTGGCTCTGAGGCTTCCCCCTGTCCACCGTGGTGATCTGTGGTGTCGGGGTGGGGGCTGAGGGCGGAGTCACCCCCCTCTCTGGAGTGGTGGAGGTGGACTTCCTGCGATGCTCGCTGGGGATCTCACCAGATCCCCTGGAGTGCCCATCCCTTCTGTCCGCCTTGTGGTGGCGGATCGGTTTGTCCAGCGAGTCCCGGCGGGCCCGACTCGGGGGCCGACTGTCCCGCTGGCGGTCCACTGCAGGACTCAGGCCCCTGGGAGGCTCGGCCGGCTCCGTGTGGCTTTGACCATTGGCCACGTGGTTCATCACTGGCGCCGCTACCTCAGGTGGGAGCTGCCCGAGAGGTTTCTTGGGAAACTCATCCTCTTTACCTGCAAGAGGAAAACAGTGGATACACATTAGAACAGAGTCGGAGAACACAAGTGAGCGACGATGGCTGAACAAACTGTGTGGCGCTGATTCACATCAGATGAGGAGTCACGACAGGGACATGGATTCATGCAACAACACTGCCATAGAGAGGTAAAAATAAAGGAGAATTACATTCATGACAACACATAATCACATATCCACAGGCAAAGGACAGAAAAAAAACATCAGAAAGAGTGTCTGATATTAATTCCCATCATGGGAGACTCAATTAGGAGGTTACTCTCAGCTGAGTGGTTCCTGAAATTATTATGGAGTTTGACTCCATTTCATTAAACAGTACTTAGCAGCAGCAGTAGCCCCGGACTAGAAAGGTCATACAGAAATAGGTCTTGATTAATGAACCTTCTTAAATGTACTGAGACTTGTAAGTACAAGCACTGAAACCACAGGAAAAAATCTTAGACTACTCAGCTTGCACTGAAGTTACTCTTCTACAGCCAGTACTTTATTCAAGTTATGGCAGAAACTTGCTGTTTCTACATGAGACAGACATAAGAAGTGGAGTTGACAGGAACAGAACAGTGTGCAGACAGAGTGATGGTGACGCTGGGTGTTGGTGGGGACTGTAAGGGAAAGTGTGAACACCAGATTCAAGCCAGGAGGCAGCAGCTGGAGGAAGACAAAGTGCTGTGGGGAGTTATCCAGGAGGTCAGCGTGTTGGCACTGTATCCACAAACTAAAGAGTCTGTCGTATCGAATTTGGCTGTTTTTCTTCGGCACAAGTTGGTGAAAATCCACAACAGAAACTAAACTAAGCTCCTACAGCTTAGATATATATGTCCTACAGTTTCACTTGCTGAAACATACACTTAAAAAAAAGACTTTCCTACAGCGTAATCAAAAATTTAGGTTAGTATTTGTTTTATCCTCAGGTCACAGCAGATTGGTGATTGCTTAGCCAACCACAGACTGTATGGTAAAGACGGATGTTTGTTGACAACTGTTTTGAAGCCTTAAGCTTGCAACTTGGCCATCGCCATCTTGGTCTTAAGAAACCAGATTCACAAGGTAGCTTCGCCCTAAAACATACCCTGATTTATCGTCTATTTTACTCTAAATGGGACCATAATTTACAAAATCAACATCATGCTGTGTTGAAGGAGACTTGAAACTAGCAATTAAGACCATAGACCCATCAGGAAAATGTTTACAGAGCGAGAAAATTAAGTGAGAAGTCGAGTCATTTTCTCATAGACTTCTATACAGACAAACTTCATTCGAGAGGAGTCGCCCCCTGCTGGCTGTTAGAGAAAATGTACCAGAGGCTTTGTCCTAATTACATTTTCTGATGATTAATATCTGCATAACTGGTCAGCCAGCTTTCCAAACCAACACCCCGTTTTAAACTCAATATTTCAGTTCTTACAAACAAAAAAGTACCACATTTATTGACTCCTTCTTGCTTTAACCTACCAGCTCAGCTAACACAGGTGAAAAAAAAAATCATTAGAGCAGAGATTCTTGCAGCTGATGTCTGCACAGAATAAATTATTCCACTGTGGGAACCATCATTTAGCTCAAACTAGACTTCTCAGCCTATTCAGATCCACAAATGCTCATTTAGAAGAATCCTTCACACCAGACGGCTGTTAAAACAGAAGTTCAACAAAAGCCTCCGGTGTTGGGAAAGCGGCTCATTATCTTGTCAGCAGACGGAGGAACGAACGGACTACCGATACCGCTGTGTGGAAGAAAGGAAGGTTCTGGTGTTCCTTCTTCAGCTACATTATCAGAAAGAGGCTGCTGCTGTCAGACATCACTGACTCATCAGCGACTAAATGCAGGAAAACAAACACGGAAACCTGGAAAAGATCATGAGAACAGGTGGAGATCCATCCAGCTGCAGATTTATAACCTGAAGTCTGAACTTTAGAGTCTTATATGAGCTGTAGCCTGAGAAAAGTAAGGTTAATTTAGGAGAATGAGAAGTCTGCAGTGACACTAAGACGCTGTGGGTTCAAATGGGAAACAAGTCTAGTTCGGTTGTTCCATCTTAGATCCTCATAGCTCTGCTCAGCCATCTCTGGTTTGCCTGAAAGTTTCATAGCATAAACTTTGGATATTTCTAAAGATATCTGTGAAATTTTAGCTTTATATTTTATGTACTTTCTGAGATAAGAAGCTTTTTGAAAACGGACCCACGTATGTAGAACAAACAGATGCTGATGAAATATCCTGATTTTAAGCTCAGATTTTTGTATATTTTCCCCACAGACCTGCCCG